TCCAATAATTCCTCGGATACATAGCAAACGAATTTACATCAAAAACTAAACTTAATTGAGAAACCATATTGAATCCGAAGGTAAATCACTAAAAAACGACTTACCTAGTGCGAATTTGGCAAAACGAACTTTGGATTCAGACTCAGGATGTCGAAAAACATAAAATAGGACCTTTTCAAAAAAGTTGACTTTTTTTGTCAAAGCTAACGGTTAACGGTCAAAGTCAATGGGTTAACTCGGACGAGTTGACTTACACGAGTTGAATCGGTCGGGTTAACCAGACCCGGTTCAGACCGGGTTGGGCCGGTTCAGAAAGGTTCCAGAAGCTTCCTGGACGGTGACAGAGGTCGGGGTGATCAACTGATTACTCCCTGTTTTAACACTAACCATAATCACTCCAAATCAACATCAATAATCAACTAAAACCAATTAAAAATAAGTAAAGGAGATGACAGGGGACACTTTCGACTGGGTCCTGACCGCGACTGAATTGGGAGCTCAATGGGAAAAGCAGTGAGACGAGGCGGCGATGGAGGTGACTGGAATCGACGAAAATCGAGGTGGTGATTTTGGGTTTTAACGTAGCTTCCAAACGTTCGATCCTGACGAACGATGATCTATACGGGGTTTATGACAGTCAAGGTTTGGTCGAGGTAGGACGTCGGTTCAATTGGTGGCGACGACGCACACTAGCGACAGCCGGACAGTAGAGAATCGACTATAAAGGGCAGACATGGGAAAAGAAATTAGGGATTTATTTTTTAAAATTTGGGGATAAATTCGGGGGAAGAAGTTGGGGATAATAACATTTTACTAAAAAAATGGTACAATTCCAGGCTGAGTCCCTGAATTCCTAAAATTTTCTTAAACTATCTATAAGTTTTAAAAACTTAAAATTTGACCCCTAAATTGGGGTGTTACAATATGACCCAGGCATGTTTCAAGTACTCTAGAGGAGTAGACTAGACTAGTAAGGTATCGATACTATGTGACCCGAACCTACCTTAAGGTACTTGGGAGATGTTGATGCTATTCGACCTAGATCTTGCCTAAGGTACCTCTAGTAATCAAATATAGGTGTGAGTTCCCTAATGCTAGGTGACCTCGAGCTACACCATGATGCTTACTTGTTATTGTGTGATTGTACTTGACATCTCTGTGATATCGGGTACTATCATTGTGTGTTGCATGATGATGCGTAGTTGTGTGATATTGTGGTTACGACTAATATATGTATACTTATGGTGAGACCCTTAGTAGTAGACTAAGAAAAGCACACGACTCAGACCCTCATGATAGTTGATGTACCTTGAGTAGACAGTTTAGTAACATTGATAGCATAATAATATTGCTTATCTAACTGCTCTTGTTAGCATGTTTATTTTACGAATGTGTGTAGTATAATAGATGTTTTGTGTGAACGAAGCTTACGAGCTCAACGTTCGGAATATTTTTTCGTTCGCATGTTATAGGTCACGTAAAGTACGATGGAACAACGATATCATTGAAAGAGTCTCAGCGAACTACTAGATTATATTAGTGACAACTTAATGGGCATGTAGAGGTCATGATTTGAAAAGAAATGACTTTAATATTTTAATTAATCATTTTACTTATTTTATTTATCAAGTTTTTAAATTAGGGCATTGCTTTTGTAAATGGTCGTGATTTCATACCTTGGGTAATATTTTAAAAATGAGTATGTTTTTAATAAAAAATAATTAGTCATTTCGGTGATTCCTTGTGACACTCAAATTTGTGGGATTTTTATGTTGCATTATGTTTCACCGGAGGCGCTTTCTCAAGGGATAATCATCACGAAGAGTGATATATGGTTATCGGGTTATTTGGATCCATTGATAGTCTTATTGTTCCTTGTTGGATTTGACATTCTACAATATTAATCTTTAGAAATTGAATTTTAGTTTGTATAACTAAGATTATTTAGGTTCATTTTATCTCTAGATACCTACATCTCATTTTCTCCGAACTTGTGGTGTTATTATTTGTTATCAAAAGTTGAAAATCTTTCATTAGTCTTGAAATGCAACACGAGTCCTTGAAAGAAGGCAAATTGAGCAATGGAACAATGGAGCAGAGATGTCTGAAGAAGCATGGTGAAGATGAACAACAACGAGGTTGATAAGAAAACCTATTAAAATGGATAAATTAAAATGTTATCCCTAAACTAATTTTAATTTACAAAAAGTCTCATAATAAATATTTTGTCTAAGGTGCAGGGGTTAAAATAAAAATTAAATCATTTTACTAATGGGTCACGTAATCAAACTAATTATATTTAATGTCTAAGTGACCAAAACTTGATAAAACAATAACGCAAGTGACCAAAATTTATGTTTTATTTTTAAATTTAATGAGAAAAAGTGTACAACATGAAGGGAAAGTGACCAAAACTTAATCCACATATTATCTACGTAGAAATGGCGTAATTTTAATTTTACATATTTATCGTGTCACATCAGCAAACCGTTAAAGGTTTAACGGTCATTAACATTCAGTAACCATTTCTTAATTAAAACAAAGCGAAAGTTATCAAATCTTATAATTTTTGAATTCAGTGAGGAAATGTTTATAAAACTCAAACAAAAATGACCATTTATGTAATTTACACTTTTTAACAAAAATGTATTTGGAGAGGAAAAAAGTATTGATAAAAATATAACCGAGTCAAGGAATTGATGGGTAGAAAAAAATTCATAAGGAGTTATAGTCGGGAGACCAAATTAAATAAAATATAAAGTTGAAAATTTTCATAAAGAGTTATAATCAGGGGACAAAAAAATAAATTTATTGTTAAAAAGAAGAATTGAGGTTATATAAGTATTCTATAGTGGTAAAGGACACGTGGTTCAAATTTTATAAGAAAATGACTTAAAACTAACGAGAATTGAAAAAGCAAAGAAATCATTTAAAATTGAGAGACTAAATTGTAAAACAATAAGAAATTTATCATCAAAAAGGGGAATTGAAGCTACATAAGTAATCCACAATTATTGATGAACATGTGATTCAAATTTGGTAAAATAAATAAATTAAAATGAAAAAGGAATTGAAGAAACAAAGAAATCAATGATCAAATCGCAAAATAATAAAATGAATTAGTTAAAGTCAAAACAAAATTGTTTTAATTTTTTATTTTTAAGTTAGTTAAACTTTACAAATTCAAACTAAAACTCAAAATATGAACAAAATAGTTTAATTGACTTAAATAAATCAAAATTTGAAAAAAAATAATTTTTCGAGTCGAATTGAGTTTTGATCACCCTTACCCCACCATTATCAAATATTCTTGCACCAGAGGCGTGTGCTTCTCTCATGCCTTTGGCACCATGGCAATGTACTTCGCCCATAAATACATGGTCATATGTGCAAAGCTTTGGTTACATCAAGCAAATCCCATTGCAAGTTAGCGAACTGTAGAAACTCCAAAAAGACCTTTTAGTTCTCAGCTCTAAAATTCACCATGTCTGACAAGTGTGGCAACTGCGATTGCACTGACAAGAGCCAATGCGTGTAAGTGAACGATAATCATCGATCCACAATGCACTTCGAGCAGTTCTAGTGTGTGGTTTGGAGATTATGTTTTTTGTTTAAATGCTATCATGCTAAAGTTCTACATGTTTTTAGCTGCAATTTTTTATCATAGGTTGTTTTAGAGGCATATTACTACATGCAAGACCATTCATTATATCTTTTCATCCCATATTTCCTCGTGCAGATCCTATGTACCTGGATATAGGAGTGAATGTTGGATAAAAATATACACGGGCCCTAACATGCCAGACATCGTACGCGGATACTTTAGAGAAAATGAAAACTCCAAATAACATACACTAACCGTTTTGTTCAAGCTTGTTATGACTAGGTGCATGAGTTTGCAATCACTTATCACTGAAACTAAAGGCTTTCTTTTTTTTCTATGCTTACAGGAAGAAAAGAAACACTTTTGCCATTGAAACTGGAAGGAGGTATATTTTCTGATCTCCAAAGATTCTGATATCTGCAAAGAAACAAATTGATATTACACATTCTCTCACATGCTGTTATTTTCTAAGTTCTGAACCATCTCTGAGATTTCCAAACAAGCAATCAAAAACTTGAGTTATGAATATGATAATTATAGTATGTTGTGTTATTTGTGCACAGCTACATCAGCAGTGTCGTGATCGAGGCTCGGCAGAAAACAATGGCAAGTGCAAGTGAGGAGCTAGCTGCAGCTGCACAAAGTGCACAAGTGGTGGTCATTAAGCAAACATATAGAATAATGATGTTTCCAGTCCATACCAATATTGGGACCAAATAATAACGAAATTCGGTTGAATAATTTGTATCTTCTGTTGTATGTCTATGGCCTTTAGTTGATTACTGAATTATTATTAGTATATATCTTCTCTGTCTTAACTCTAAGCTGCATTTAAATGGCTAGTGGGAGGAATCCCACCTCATTGTTGAGTTTAAAAGCTCCACTCATAAAACACAGGGATGATGCAGTGAGACCCTCCCCCCCCCCCCCCCCCCCCCCGCTATCCAAATGCAGTGCTAGTCCTCTTGTCATAGCTATAACACAACGAGAGACAGTGCAAAATAAAAATATAATCGTCTAACAGACTGTTACCAAGAGATATCAAGAACGAAGCAGTCTTTCAAGTTTCCAATTGGCACATTCATATATCAAACCAATCAAGTCATCACCAGAGTTGTAATCACAGTACTTTCGGGGTGCAACACAGGAAAATGGTACATCCTGCTTATCGATAAGCTAAAGCTTTTTATATTTCCAAGTGACTAGTTGTCCGAATCTATTCACATATTCATAACAGTGCACAATCTTCTTTCCTCAACTTTTACCAATGTAAGTTATGCAATAACACTAGGGAGAGAAAATTGATACAGGGAGACAGCTAATAGGAAAGTAAAGGGGGGATGTATTTACTCAAGGAATCAAGGCATAGAGTTTCACTCTGTCCATATCATGATTCATGGAAGTATTCCAGATGTTTTAATTCACTTGATAGAGGTAAATAACCTCATAAACAGAGAAGTACAAGAAAAATGAACAGTTGGGACTTGGGATGCATCCAAATCCAACTCCAACTGCAAAGAAAATCTCTTCTCTTTTTATTCCTAGAATCTTTTTATCAAATCATCTCTGTAATCCTATAATTAAAAAGTTTGTACCTCGAATTGTTTTCATTCTATAAACCTCAAGTACCAATCTCAAACATTGAATCCCTCTGCACGAAGGCATATACGATGAGCCTCTATCCATTTTGCACAAGCTTCTTCGCCATGCTCCACAATGCATTCATCTCTGAGCTTCTTTGTCTCGGGGCAAGCTCAGAAAATTTTCTTCTTTGGCTTTGATTCTGAACTAGATGTTGCCGTCTCTGATTCCCGGTTTAGCTGCAAGCGAGGCAAAGCTATTGCAGATGTATTTTGTGTTGGCAACCCATTCATTGTATCAGCAGTAAGCAAGTGTAAGATACTGTGAGTGAGAAAGAGAGAAAAACACATCACAAAAGAAAATGTCACCAAGCAATATGAAGTAATTTCATCAAAAAGACAAAGAAAATCAACATAGACTATTATAACATGAATCATATCATAAAAAAAAAACAGCAGATAATGTCTATTACTTTTCATTTGTGATCATTCAATTAGCAATGTCAGCATATTTACATTTCATACCATCCAATTAATCAGTATCGAAAGCAAATACATAAAAACCAGAACACCAGTCTGTCTAGTATGATTTCAACAAGAAATTGCAAATTTAGGTGTTTGTTCGTTCAGATTGGTTAAAACAGTAAACGAATAAGCATTTGAGTTATTTTAACCAGTTAAGAATTAACCAACTTAACGCAACACCAAGATCAAGTTTAGCCCAAAAAAATAGCCAATTTCAATCAGAATAAGGGAAAAGCAGTCATAATTGATCATAAAAACAAAAAAAACCCAGACAGAAAATTAAATATTAGCACTTTGCAATGATAAAATTTAATACTGATCGGTTCTAGATTTTTTATTATTCTTTTGTTGCCTATGTTAGTTTTGGCTCTATTGAATCAATACACAGGGATAAATTAAATAATAAAAGAAGAGCATACCGTTGAATTATAAGTAACCGGAGCCGGCAACGGGTGACGTGTTTTTCAGAGGTTTTGAGTAGGGCAACAAAGAAGGAAGGAATTTTCGGTTTAAAGCTCACCACGTTGATGTCGGATCGGGTAACTTTTTTGTTTTCTTTTCTGGGATTTCGGCTTAATCAGGTAAAATTAGTACAATAATCTTGTCGGAAAACGTTTTTCTGTTGGACTCCGGAATTGGGCTTCGACGTGAATAATTAGGTTAGAGTCGTCACCGATTACTTTAAAACGAATTTAGGTGGGTCAGATACCATCTTACCTTATATGCGCTATACCAGAAATGTATCGGGCTCGGGAGTCGGTTACGGTCAATGAATGATTAACACCCTTGAACCGCTCTTTCGGTACCAATTAATTTACCAGTTATCTTTAATTGCGAAAATTAAAATTTAAATTAAAATTTAAAATATTCTATTCGAATTACTTACCTTTAATCGACTGAAATTATCCTTAAAAAGTCGAAACAAAGTTAGATTGAAAAATAAATATTAAATTGAGAAAATAACAATAAAATGTTATGAATAACTGAAATAAAAATAAAAATAAAAACGAAGAAAAATATTCAGTCTTTTTTTAATGCGAAACTCAACATGATTCACTAATGTAAACTAAACTCATACATAAATGGATAAAAAAATACCCAAATATCCAAGAGATTGGACTTGCCAACTACAAGCTTGGGCTCGAGATAGATAGCCCACTTGAATTATGTGAATGGAGGTCCTCTCCTTTGTTTTGCTAAGGACTTTGCAGTAGCCTTAATTAAAACGAAAGGGCAAAAGAAATCATCTTCTCCATAGCAAACAAAGGTGTTGCCCCTATTAATCCTTCAAGCTCGTCGTCGTCCTAGGGCTTCTACGATCGTCAGTGTTGTTGTTTGGTTTCTCTTCCTCCTCTTTCTCTTATTTGGTTCGGGTTTGAAAGAAATCGACCCCAAACACTTGATTATGGTAAGGTCTCTAGATTTCTTTCGTACCACTGATCTCACACTGTCACCGTTGGATCTTCACAAGGTCGAGATATGTTGTTACCCCCGTCATCACTTAGCTCCTCACCGTTGGAATTTACAAACTGATCGCCGGAGCCACCACCATCTACAACCTCAGGTAAGGTTCTTAGCCTTTTATTTCTTTTTCGAAGTTTAACGAGTGTAGATGACTTGTGTTTTTTTCTATATTTTCGTCGTATACTCTCTGTGATCCTCTGCCCTCTTACTTTGGGTTTACATGTTTTATTTATAATGAAAAGAAAACCTATTTTTAGCTTGAGTCCTATGTAAATTGAGACTCTTGATTTGTTGGTCGTTGGTGACGTGGCGAGAAGAACAGCGTCAGTTACTATTGTGGATCACTACTATATGTGTGGTGAAAAGAGGCTCAGTGGAGGGGGTGGGAACGAAAATTTAGTGTCTACAGCTGCCCCTCTTTGTCCTTTTTCGTGGAACAAAAAATTGGGCAAAGATAAAAAAATACAAAATTTCGTTCAGTGGAGTTGAAAAAATTGACTCTGAAAGAATAACTCCCTGTCGAAATGAATTGCGAATGACTCCTCCGTTGTGAAGTCGAGTCCATCTTGAAATGATATGTAATTAAAGCCGCAGTTCGGAACTTGGATCAGAATGCAGCTTCTCGTTACCAAATTACAATCAACTTCAGTCATCTTCTCAGTTTAAAGACCTTGGTTTAAACATTTGTCTAGAAAATGGTTCTTTGACTCCACCATGTAGTTGACAAGCCCTTGAGCTGAATGAAATCGAACTCGAAAAGTCTTCTTTGACAGATAGCTTTTCTTGACTTAAGCTATGCTGCTAAAAAAACAATTTCTTGTCACTAAGGCACGGTTAACCCAGGTCTTCTTCTCGACTTGAAAGCCTTGATTGCAGTCGGACAGTAGTGTGATTGAGGTGTCATCGAGCTGAATGGAACCGAACTCGACAATTTTATTGACAGATAACCCTTCTTGCCTTGAGCTATGTTGCAAATGATGTGCCTTGGAGCTGAGCGTAGTCGAACTCAAAGGTCTTCTGGCGACAGATAACCCTTCTAGCCTTGAGTTATGCTGTAAATAATGTGCCCTCGAAGCTGAGCGTAGTCGAACTCGAGGGTCTTTGGCAGATATCCCTTCTCGACTTAAGCTATGCTACAAATGATGTGCCTTGGAGCTGAACGTAGTCGAACTCGAAGGTATTTTGGAGACAGATAACCCTTTTAGCCTTGAGTTATGCTGTAAATAATATGCCTTGGAGCTGAGCGTAGCCGAACTCGAAGGTCTTTTGTTGGAAAATAGCCCTTCTTTCCTTGAGCTATGTTGCAAATGATGTGCCTTGGAGCTGAGCGTAGTCGAACTCAAAGGTCTTCTGGTGACAAATAACCCTTCTAGCCTTGAGTTATGTTGTAAATGATGTGCCCTCGAAGCTGAGCGTAGTCAAACTCGAGGGTCTTTGGCAGATAGCCCTTCTCGACTTAAGTTATGCTGCAAATGATGTGCCTTGGAGCTGAACGTAGTCGAACTCGAAGGTCTTACCCTTCTAGCCTTGAGTTATGCTGTAAATGATATGCCTTGGAGTTGAGCGTAGTCGAACTCGAAGGTCTTTTGTTGGCAAATAGCCCTTCTTGCCTTGAGCTATGTTGCAAATGATGTGCCTTGGAGCTAAGCGTAGTTGAACTCAAAGGTCTTCTGGTGACAGATAACCCTTCTAGCCTTGAGTTATACTGTAAATGATGTTCCCTCTAAACTGAGAGTAGTCGAACTCGAGGGTCTTTGGCAGATAACCCTTCTCGACTTAAGCTATGCTGCAAATGATGTGCCTTGGAGCTGAACGTAGTCAAACTCGAAGGTCTTTTGGAGACAGATAACCCTTCTAACCTTGAGTTATGCTGTAAATGATATGCCGTTGAGCTGAGTGTAGTTGAACTCAAAGGTCTTTGTTGGCAGATAACCCCTCTAGCCTTGAGTTATACTGCAAATAGTTTGTAAAAAAATGGCTTCCCTCCATGGGTCTAAGTCGGTTATACTTCAGGTGGTTCCTCTAAGCGAGTCTGAACCAAATGAGACGATCTTTGAATGACTCCCCTTTTACGGAAAAGCCCATTGAAAGATTCTGACAGTCAGATTCCATTGTGGAATTGAAATCTGGCTTGAAGACATTAACTGGAAACATGCTGCTCATTGTTGAGTTGAGCTGAACTGGATTTGTTTTGAATTAGTTCTCGAACCCATCTGAAGTTGATTGTCAATCTTTCAATCTGTTGAGTTGGTTGCGGTGTAGCTTCTTGTTGATGAGTTAAACAACCACCATCGATCTTTAAATGTGCTTTTAAATCGAGTAGTCTTTGTATTGAAGTCGAAACTTGACTCTAAAAGCTGTAAAAAAAATCATGTATGCTAAAAATGATGAATATGATGCACCTAGGTATGTCTAAGATGCATTCAACATGAATGAATTATGTGTTATCTCCTGGATGTAGTCTCGTGCTTTGTCTGCCAATCTAGTCCATGGAATCGATCGTGCCCCATCCTCTTTTCAAGCTTGGGCTTTACAAACCCTTCATATCTGAGACTGTTCTGCTTGAAAGTATTTTTCTCCTTTTTTCTTGTTTTAGGAGGGAAAATGATAAAAATGATGTAAAATATTATTCGCAGTTGAATCAAATTGTAAACGTGAGTTCAAAAAATATCAAAGGAATCAAGAGCTCTTTTAATGCTTTCAGGATTACAACTCTTTTACAAATGTTCAAATGGATGAGTTGGCTTTAGGTTGGCCTCCTTTCTAAGGTTTTATTAACCCAAAATGTCATTTTTTGAAATATCGCAACATGCTTTGGTATTTCAATTGGGTGCGGACAAAATGACGCAACTAGCATGATTAATTACTAGACCTTTTATTTCAGTCCTCTAAAATCTTCCATTTGTTCAAGCCTCGTAAGCTCCTCTAACAAAGGTAGTGCAAAAATATCGGTCTAAAAATGAAATTCTTGAGTTCTCGTGTGAAGTTGACTATAACAGGTGTTCCTTAACTCCCTTAGTCCATCATTACCGAAAATTTCTTGCTTAGATAAATTTGATTTAATTTGCCGTTATCTGGCTAGTTGAATCCATAAAGCCGGGGTATTTAACCAATTGCTTTAGAGGGACAACTTAACATTATAATCAAGTTAACTAAAGGGTTCATCTCATCACAAAGTCTTCGGCCGGACAATAGCAGTGGAGCAAACATCGAATTGCCAAGTGTTCGAGCAGTGTCATAGTTTAAACGTAATCTACTCATAAGGCCAGAGCTTTCAAGTTTCCTCTATAACCAATTGCCTTAGTGGAATAGCTCAGCTTTACGGATTTAATTTCTTAAGATTGTCAAGAAGATCCTGTTATAGCCTAGGTGTTTGTTGAAAGTTAAAAATTTCATCTTTAGAGTTCAATTTTCATGCAACTGTCCTAAGCTAGATTCACCTACTCGACTCTTTCATTTGTAAAGATCATCATCTTCATTGAACATCTTAAATAAAAAACATAGTAATTGTCATATGCAAATGATGCCCCATGTTGTCCGCGCCTTATGAAAGGAAAAATGTTATGTTGGTTAATTGCAAGAGCAGGGTACGATGTTTGAGGGAATATTCTGGGTAAGGTCAAAGTCCTTGTTTTAAATCATGTTAAAAAAATGTATAACTCTGAACCATTTACAGAGTTTCTTAATTCAAATGATATTCAAAGAATTGCAAGTTTGCAAATGTGATTCATTGCTTAACATCTTTTAAGTAACATAAATTTCTTTAAAAAGTCCTTACAAAAACTTGAGAAAAAATGAAAAACAAATTCAAACAGAATGCCTCAGATGATGAAATGGTCTTCATCACTTGGATGCCCCCAAGTTGTTGAAGTCGATCTAGTTCTGGTTACGCATCTTCTGTACGACTCTCTTGAATGCGTAACAGTTCTCAATTATGTGCCCTGGGACACCGTTGTGATATTCACAAAGAACATTCTTATCATACCACTTGGGGTACGGGGGCTTCATGGGTTCCACCAGATATGGTGACACTACGTGGGTGTTAAGAAGCTGCTGGTAAAGCT